GAGGCTATTCTCGAATCCTTGGGGTAACACTGTCCAAGTTAATTGGGTTTTTCTCCCTGTATTGGGATTTTCCCATTTGAAGGCGGAAAGCCTTTGACTCTTTTTTGCCAGAGCTAAACAGAAAAAGGCATCCTTTAAGTCCAGGACTGTAAACCAGTTTTGATTGTCTTTTAATTTAGTAAACTATGTATAGGGATTGGCAACAACAGGATGCAAATCCTCCACTATTTTGTTTATTGCTCTTAAATCTTGCACTGATCGATAACTCTTATCGGATTTCTTTATAAGCAAAATGGGGGTGCTGTATTCTGATTCACATTCTATAAGTGAACCGAATTGTAAGAATTTGTCTATTTCCTTTATTCCTCTTCGATCTTCTGATTTTAAGGGATACTGCTTGACTTGAACTGGACTTGCTCCGGGTTTTAACTTAATCTCTATTGCTGCTACATTTTTTGCCTTCCCTGGGGTGTCTGAGGCCCATACCCCCAGATATACTTGATCTAAAATCTCTTGAGGTACTTGATTTTTCTCTTCGGTTTGTATCATTGCCAAACTTAAAATTTCAATTAATTGGTTTTCTTTAACTTTAAATTCTATTTTTCCTTTTTCAAAAACTATTTCAGCACCCAATCGTTCCAGCAAGTCATGTCCTCAGAGTGACTTTGGAGATTCTGGGATGTACAAAAGTCTATGTATCCCAGTTTGTTTTCCAAATTTATATTTAAGTGCCTGTAAGAAAAAGGCTTTCTCTTGTTGACCAGTAGCTGCCACTACAGTCACAAAGTCTCTGTCTACGGGTATTAATTCTTGGTTCAAGACAGAATATGAGGCACCTGTATCCACTAAAAATTCGATCTCTATATTCTGTCTACCTAGCTTTATTTTAACCAGTGGATCCACTAGGGTGGATTCCCCAGGTCCCCATCATTCAACCTCTGCTAGCATTGTAGGCTTAGTTCTCTTTAGTGTGGGGCATTCCTTTTTCCAGTGTCCTTGCTCCCCACAATACGCACACTGATTTTGTCCTAAGACTGGCCTGAATCCCCCTCGAGTCCTTACAGATTCTCCCCTGCCCCTTCCCTGGGGAGAGTTTTGAATTCCCTGACTTCTCTGTTCTAATGCAGCAATGGTGGCAGTAGCTATTGTTTTCCCCAATTTTCTTCTCTCACTATTCTCTCTATTTCTATACACCCTCCAAGCTTCCCCAATCATTTTTTCCAAATCCTGTATTTCCAGTTCTTGAAGTTTCTGGAGTTTCTTTCTAATATCTTCAGAGGACTGTCCCCAAAATAATGACACTAGTTGTTGCTGTCCCACCCGGGATGCACAGTCCAAAGTAGTATATTAGGGCATTGCTGCTCTCAGCCGATCTAAAAACTCTGTAGGGGTTTCATTCTGTCCTTGCTTTAGAGCATACAGTGCTGACCGATTTTACAGCTTTGGGGATTGCACTCTCTAATCCAAATCTTATCCAATCGTGATATTTCTGTAACACATGCTATTCTGTGCTGTCACTTGGATCCCAATTCGGATCAGTTAAGGTAACGTACTGATCGACTCCCGCAGCCAACATTCTGGCAGTAATTTGTGTCTGTACATGAGTACGGGCTGTTTTTAAAAACAGTTGCTTTTCTGTTTCTGTCATTGCATCCAACATTAAGTCTGTATCTTTCCAATCCGGATCTTGATTTTTTTAGCTATCGATTCAAACCTCTTGGTGACCCCTAATGGATCGTCCCAATAGCTTCTCACCACTTCTTTCCAGGTATCTGAATCACTCATATTAAAAGGGACCTTAAGTCAAGTTGGTCCTTTGGGTCCCATCGCTTTTCTGAGTGGCGCTTGTACAATCGGACCCATTTTGCTACGAGTTCGGGTGGTGATTGGGGTAAAATTCCCCATTGCTCCTATTCTCTCTTTTTGTTCCGCTGCCTCTACTCCTTTCTCTTGTTCTGTTTTCTCCTCTGGGAATCCTCTTCACCTCTGGGAGGTGGAGGCACATAATCCTCAGCCCTTTCTTCCTCTTCTCTTTCTTGAGCTTTTACTTTTAAACACCTTTCTCCAATGCTGCATGCTGAACAGCATCTTTTCAACTTGCCCTGATTCCTTTTCTGCTCCTTTTCTAGTGCCAATACAAGAGGATCTTGTGGGGCTAAATTAATACCACACTGCTTTTGCCATTCGGGACGCTTTCTCAAAGTGAAAAACATATCAGCCTACACAACCTCATCCCCTTAAGGCTGCTAATAAAGAATACCTGCTTAGCAGTATTTAACTTGCTGTTGAGTGAACTTTCTTTGCAGAATGTTTCCATGCAGTACAGATGTTCCCCTGTGCTTAATGCTCCCGAAGTGAGATGACTGCCGAACTCCACCTTCCTGTAGTTGCAGTACTCACGAGAATCTCCCTAAAGTACAGAGTTGTGACAACCTCATCCTTGGAGATAGTCAGGCTTGATTTTTAATACTAAAACATAGCATGCATGTTACTAACTGGACACACATGGATTCTAGAACACTTGTGTGAAATACAGCTGGAGTCTATTTCGAAGGTGGTGAAATGCATGTGATTTTAGTTAGAATTGCTCATTACTTAGGGGAGAAAAAACAATCTTAAGCTAATAAAATATTTCTGGAAATTTGGGGTTGTGATGGACTGTTGTACATCTTTCTGGGAGAACTTTACATGCAACGCGTTGGGTGTGGGCATAAGTAGTTATCCTTCTATCTAGTTTAGAAACCAATTGAAAAAAGAAAAGAGGAAGGTCCTAAACACTAAGCGAAAAATTTGTGCTGGATTTTTAGCTTCAGTTTTAAAGTAAGGGGATATTGAGCATGAATGAACCTTCTTGGAAGTGTATACGATACCGTTCCTCTTCTAAAAGTAGAATAGGTGATTGCTAGCTGTATTAAAGGGATTGTCGAACCAGTGAAGGTGGAAAGTAGATATAACTGTGAATGTTATCTAGCTCATAGGTATTACTACCTATTAGTAAAACTAGCTAGATTTTTCTACTAGCAATGCAGAGTAGAAGGCTGGAATAGAGCCATGGCAAAGTGTCCTTTAAAGCTCCTGAACACATCTTGCTGCAAGCTGTGTCTAGAAGCCTAAGAGGCACCTATTGCATGTTAAAGCGTTCAGAGGGCTTTACCTACTTCAAGACTCCAAAATGCCGTGTGGTATGAGGGTGTGGCTTTCAGATGGTGACCATTTTCCATGTAGTAATTGCTATTTGGCATTTCTTAGTGACTTGTACTTTTGATTTTAGTCAACCTGAGCTGTATGGTTGGTTGGTTTGGGTTTTTTTATAGGAGATATGAAGGAGGGTTGGAAAGATGACTCTCTAGAGCAAAAGAGAAGTGAACACATGAAAAAAAAAAAACCAAACTTCCAAGAACTATGCAGAAATACTAGCACTGAAGGAAAGAACTGAAACCTTGGAAGGTCAGCTAGCTGCGCTTGAAGAGCAGTGCAGAAGAGAAAAAAACAAAAAAGAAGAGTTCAGTGGGCAGATAATAAACTTGCATCTCAAGCTCTCCCTATCTGAAGAAAGGGCTTCTGGCCTAAATGAAGAACTTCAGTGATGTTGAGCTGACTATCAGGAGATTGTTTCTGAATTGGACTATCAGAAAGCTATAAATAGGGAACAGGGAGAAAAGATTATTCAGCTAAGTAACACAGTAGAAGGTGCCAAACAAAATATAATTGATAAAATGTCGCAAATTAAAACAATGCAGTCCAAAGAAGATGAGTTGTCTAAATGTCACTTAGAGTCTTATGCTATGGATATTGATTTAGTTAATCTACAAGATTCCTTAGAATCTCAGAAAGATGAACCAGAGAGAGCTCAAATGAGTCCTGTGTGCATGCAGTGCCAAAGGGCTTCTACAGCAGAGCTGAGACAGGAGAGCTCCTTTCACTGCAGTGTTGAAAGCATTTGGGAAGAATGCAAAAATATCATTAAGGTTTCTTCACAAAAAAGTCAGCAGATTCAAGAACTACTTCAGCAAGTGGCAGACTTAAAGAAGGGACTTGGTGATGCTGAGGATTATAATAATCGCCTAAGAATAAAATTAAATGAGATTGCAAATCACAATCGTCAGTCCGTAAAGGAAGAAGATCTTGTGAACCAGTTACAAGAGCAAATCCAGAAGAAAACGCAGGATTTTGAGAAACAGGCTGCTGAAGATCACAGAGTAATTACACAGTTTGAGGAGGACGTTAGCAGCTATAAGGGAAAAATAAGAGAGCTTGAATGCCTCTTGGAGGCTTTTAGAGCTAAAGATGAGAGCATAACAAAGTTAGAAGTACTTAAAGAAAAAGAATCTATTATTTTAAATCTAGAAAGTAGCACAGTAGCTCTGCAAGAGAAATGTGCCCTTTCAGACAAACTGAAAGAATTAAATGGTCAAGAAGCAAATCTGAAGGAGGAAGTTGTGCGGTTGGTGAACAGCTTGGCAAACATGAAACACTGTCTTCAGGAAAAGGAGAAAAATGAGGATGAGCAAATACAGTCTACAGAATTGTAAGTAAATAATGAGATAACTTGTAGCCCTTTGAGAATAGACTCAAGTTACAACTACCTTCTGTGAACATCAGTTTATTTTGACACAACGCGTTTGCATGTTGATCAACTATTAACCAAACTGCTTCTTTAAGAAGTTTTAATACACTACCTAAATTTTGTATTTGCATATTCTATTGGCTATGCTTTCCTCACCTGCTGCATATTCTATATGAGCAAACAGGTAGTTTTGGTGATAGCTATTCTAGGTGAACACAGTTTCCTATAAGAACTTGAAAGAGTAATGGGTGTAGGAGGGTAGAACTTCCCCCAGCCTCCTCTACTTCTTAAATCTTTAAGAAATAAGAGATTAAATGTATCTGAGAGTTTATATTTGCTATGTGGTAATGAAATTGCAATCCTGTAAAAATAACTTTAAGATGCTATGTAGCCCTTCTCCTGACTAGGGTTTCTCTAGTGCCAGATCTGGGGATGCCTGCATATACCCTGAAGTATAATTTAACATGAAGGTCTGGGGATCCCTGACCCTGTGCTTACAAAGCTTTGAAGTTTTCCTTTTGTCAATTATAGAATCTCAAAAAGCCTTTCCATTAGTTTTAAAGTAAAAATCTAAGATGTCTTACTGTAAACGTTTTTAAACAAATGTGACCATTTAGAAATAAACCCATCAAGCTTCTTAATTACTTTGTAGGACTTGTAACAGCGGTAGTTGTTGCAAAGTTATTGTTTTTTCTGTTTCCTTTTAATTTTTATTTATCTTGATCCTTACAAGACCTAGGATGCAGATAGCAAGTTTAAACTTACTTGATATTAATCTTGTTCCTTTTGTCACTTTGTAAGGACAGCTAATGATAAAAATGGTTGCTCTACCATGCTTAAAAATTGCAGTGTTCAGAAGTGAATCGAGCAGATTGTTACTTCAGGATCATCTAATAAGAAGCTGAGATCCAAAAGTAAAATTATAAAGCTTGTCACTGATCTGATAGATCTGAGATTTTATTCATGAATAAACCAGCTGTCAAACAGCCTGAGTTCATGTGTAAAAGCTGCTTCTTTGAGATGTGTGACACTAATGTTATGTATGTCTCTCAATTTCTAACACAAGGCTACGTAAAGATCTCTGAGAGCTCTGTCCTCGTACAGAGTTTGAAAAAAGATTTGCAGAGGAAAGAGGAAGAATATACAGATTCGAAAGAGAAATTTTCTGATGCCAAGAAACAAATTCAGCAAGTCGAAAAAGAGGTTGGGGGCCACAGGCCAAATGTTTTTTCTGCAAGTTTATGCTTGGGGTTCTGTTATTAAAACCTGTTTTCACAAATCTGAAGCTACTAATATTAAAAATTATTCATAATAAGGCTATTTTGAGTGATACATTTAGAGTTACAGTGCATCTTAAGTTACATTGCCATTGAAGCTGTAAGCTAACGATAAGACCGGATGTCAAAACATGGATTAGTACAGATATTGAAGGGGGGATGTAAATGTTATGAATCTACTTGAAAAAGCTTTGTGAAAACTACGGCTAATCTGGTTATGGATACTTTGTAATCTTTCTAACAGTAGTATTACCTTGTTGTTTGTGCTGACCTCAAAGTCTCAGGCTTCAGACTTGTGGAAAATGCTGATCTCTGGGAGGCAAAGATGGATTAATCAGAAAAGGAAAGCACAAACTTTTAGAGACTTTCAGATCTGAGCTGTGTTTTCTGTTAAGGTTGGGGGAAAGAAATGAAACAATAAAGTAACTTTTACTAAGATTAATTGTTCGTATTTAGTTATCAAGCAGTAGGATTTCTTAGAACCTCATGGGATATTGCAAGAATTGAGTCCAAAAGACTATTGCAAGAGTTTGGGCTTGAAAGTTAAGCCTTTAAAAAAAGTTTTAACATCTTTCCCAGCAGCCTAACATTTAAGGACCTATTCCTACTCAACATTCAGTGTATAATCCTCTGTTTGAGAAGTAGCAAGGAGCAGATGGGATCACGTGTCAGAAAACATACTTCTTTTTTTCTTTTTTTTTTTTTTTTTTGAAAAGGAGAACTGAATTTGTAGCATGGTTAGGCTATTACCTGGTGAGTTGGGGTTTTTTTTGTTTGTGGGTTTTGGTTTTTTGTTTCTTTCCCCCTGTGAAATGGGATACTCTGTTCTATGGTGAAAATCCTTCCCTAGGAAGGAAGTACAGTATAATGCACTTCCAGCCCCTGAAATTCAGCTCAGATGCTGTCACCACTTAAGACTGGGCTGGCAAACCAGAACAGATGCTTGCAAAAATCTGGCTCTTAAAGGTTTTGGTTATTTAGATAACTTAGGGAGATTTTTTTTGTAAAAGGCTTATCACTAAATGTTAGCTTTGCTTGCTGTATTTGTACATTGGTACAGGTGTGTACAATGTGATGTGAGGAGAAATCCCTGAGGAACAAAGTTAATGAACTTCAGAGAATTAAAAACCAACTTAGGGAAGAATTGGAGATCAAACAGCGCACAATCCTGCAACTTAAAAAGGTATTTTATTTTTTAAAATTTGACTCGCTCTTAATTTTTGTAACTAGTCCATTCATGAGACAAGTTTTCTGAGCAACAGGAGAAAGCTTAGAGAAATTGGGTAGAAATAAGAGCAGTCAGCTGCAATGAGTTTTAATGGATGAATGGAAGATGTTGAAAGAACTGCTCACTGCAGGACACTGTCAAATTGTTTAAAACAAAGTAATCTGCCTAATAAATACATAATACCTGTGGATATTGTGATTAGTGACACTTAGATATGTTAGTAGGAATGTCTTCCTCTGAACACTTTTATCAGCTTGAATGCTCCTTTACACTATATGGAAAAGCTTATTTTTTCTGGACTGTTTGTCTTTAAACCTTTATTGGTTACTTATTAAAGCTCAGAATGAAAAATTGCTACTTTCTAGCATAGATACTTGTTCCTTTCAACATGTCATCTTCAATTTGCTTTCAATGTGATATTTAGGAGCAGTTGAATAATGAGAAGCTGGAAGAAATCTCCAAACGGTCTGAGAAAACACATAAAGGTCAGAATAAGCCATTATTATTCTTTTTTTTAATTTTTGGTGGTGTGGAATGGCAACGTAATGAGTTGTCACGTTGTTAACAAATTTGGAGAGTCTTGTATGTTTATATTTAAAATATGCTGAGAAACTCCAACCTGGACCTTTTACAGTCAGGAACTAATTTTTATTGACTCATCATTAGCAGGTATACTTGAAAGCAGCAAAGAAACAGTCTCTGAATAAGAAATATAAGCCCCAGAGAAAGTGTGGCTTTGCTGTATCAGTGTTATTAAATGTTGGTATTCATTTGCCATTTTAACAAAATCAACCACTGAAACATGAACTAGCACAATAACAGTTTCTGCAGGTTTGTTAAACATTTAGCAGTTGAACAATGGTTAGTTTCTCAAGTAATAAAAGCCATAGTCTGACTGAGGTTAACACTGAAACGCTCAACTAAAACGAGCTGATGACAATCACTTAATTTTGGATAACTTAGTAGAGATGCTGTATTTCTTTCTAATAGAGCTTTTTTTCTTGCGGAATGTGGAAACGACTTGTAACGAAGGCACTTTGGGAGAGAATGTTGGGAACTAGGAGGGGGCTCATCTGTTAATTTATCTTCAGATCTTCAGATGTGTGCGCAAGGTGTCCCATCCCGCTCGGTGGGGGTGGGGAGAGATGATCTTTTACAATACTCTCCGTGGTTGTGGGGAAACTGCAGGCTCTCCAGAGGTAGAAAATGAATAATTAATTTTATTACAAAATTTCCCTAAAACTGCAGTGGAAGGAACAAAAAGGCTAGGCAAGTTCTTATAAAAACTCAGAAATAGAAGGAGGAAAGAGAGAAAGAGGAAAAATGAAAGATAGGATCGCCACCTGTGGATGCAGTGACATCTTCTCAGTCTGTGAATCAGAGTCCTGTCAGTCAGTCCATCGAGGTCCAGGGTGGAGGAGGAGCACACCCCATGGCTGAGAGTCGGTCACCTTTTTATGTGGTCGAGGGTCTTTTGGACTCCTCCTGGAGGCGGAGACTCATTTGCATGCCTGCACGTGCACAGTGAGCTCCTTCTGGAATGTTCCAGAAGGTGGGAGGGGTATCAGGGTAGCCCCCCGACTCAGTTAACTTTGTGCTTTGATCAGGCACAGGCTGTTGCTATCTCCTGGCAGTTGCACCTGGGCACTTATCTCTACAATTTCAGGCTACTTAACACAGGGAGACACCCCCCACCTTAGTAGGGCATCACTCACTGGTCAGCCTCCCTGAGATGTACCCAAGTGAAAACACACTGCCCACCACAAACAGGCATTAGGTCCCCTTCAGTTAGTTGTTTTGAGACAGCTGATGATAAAGGGTCCCTTGACCATCACAAAAGGAAAAAATAATTGAAGATATGCAGACGATATTAGAAGAACAAGAAAAGACTCGGGTTGAACAAGGTCGAGTCCTTGAAGCCAAATTAGAAGAGACCAACAGATTAGTTTTTGGGTAATGTCTCCATGGAAAGGGAGCAGGGAGGCAAAGTTGTTTTGGGTCTGTTGTGATAGCTGCTTTAAATTTCTGTTTTTATTTACTGACTGTTATTTAGGCATTAATTTTATGTAGTACATGACAAACTTCTAACAGTTAAAGGCTCCTGTTGTCCCTTTGTGGTCATAGCTGATAAATCCAAGTAACTTCAGAAGCAGGATGTGAACACAGGCAAACATGCATTTGAAAGTATACCTTACGTAACGTCTTTTTGTGTACTGACTAGAACTGGAAGCATGGAAGCAGAAAAACAGAGAGCTGAATAACCAGCATGATAGTGACTGGCAGCAAAAGATGAGCCAATGTGAGGAGAAAAACATAAGTGAAAATGAGGAATTAATAAAGCCGCAAAAAGAACTGAAGGTATAATATGGTGATGTAATTCATACTTTGTTTTAAAGCTGTAACTTTCATTTTGGAGTCTAAATTTCTTTGTGTCACTCTCTTCAAGAGCTAGGGCGTGATATGGCAGGTTGTTACACGGGTAAAGGAAACCTTCTGTAAAAGCTGCAGTGCAGCAAAGTCTGGGTGCAGTGTCTTTCTAATATATGGCATTCACTTGCACTCCATAATGGAGCGCACCCTTCCCTACGTTACGCTATTGTCACCGAAATAGGGAATAAAACTCCTTAACACCAAGGTAGTATTAAGAAGCCGGCATTCTCCTTATTGCAGCGCTGGATGCACGAGGGATCATTCTGCCTAACGTGGATGCTGAGTAAAGTGAAGATACATATTACATACAATAAAACATTTGCATATTCATATACACTACATATTCATTGTTATTTGCACTCAGGATTAGTTCTAAGTTTCTCTCTTCTAATGTAAATTAGTACGCATCCCCAGTAAGCACTAATGAAGCCTCTCTATTAACTACGCATGCTCCCTGAGCGGGGTTTTGCCCTCTTTTGGGGGGGCCATTTGAGTTGGAGGTCGTGATCTGCCACTACCACAGTTACCTTGGTCCTGCTGTCAGCCAGTTTATTGTTGATGTCTGTGGGTTGTAACGTTTGATCAGCTGGCTCCCTTCCTGTCTAGAACTCCCTCTCTTGAAGGCCTCTCTCCACATTCTTGCCTGCTGACTTAGATGACAGTGTCCCTTCTTCTATCATTTGTTCTTTTTCTTGGTGCTTCCCAACCTTGAGGTGCCAGGCTAAAGAATGTGCCTGCTTTTCTGTTCATTTAGCTGAATTATTTAACCCTTTGGTATCAGCTTTGGTCTATGTTATCCCTCTATAATTGCTGAAACATACAATAGTCTTCTGTTTAAACAATATTAGAATGCTTTTCTTAATTTATACACTTATTTTGGAGCTTAGAGCAAGAACTCTTGCAACCAGTTAGTCCAGTTTATAGTAAGGTATTTTCTAAAGCAGATACTCAAGACTACTATGGACAGTGCTTCTGTAGCTGGGCTTCTCTTACAGTTGTCTTAACCGATCCAACTCCTGATACCTGTACCAAACCTCTTTTCTGTCAGTTGCTTGGGCAACTGAATCAAAATCTTTCAAGATCTTGTGCTTGCTATATGACCTATAAGCCCTTCCTGTTAGGATGAGGATTTACCTCTAATTCTCTTTGGGTTAGAAAATACACTTTTTTCCAAGCAGCTTTTCAGATGCCTTCTGTCCTGTGTGGGAGACTGTCTGACAAGAGGTTTGTTTGTGATAGAAGAGGAGGCAAAGTTGCTATACATTGAAGTGATGTTCTTAGGTATGCACTGTCTCTGCCTGCCATTCAAACTGTACTGCATTCTTTGCCTTTCAGTCTTGAGGTAGAAGTAAGTTTTCTAATGTGTCCTGTAAGGCAGCATAAAAAATTGGGAATTTGTAGGTTAAAAGGGTCTCTTTACCATGACTTTTGGTGTAACTTTTATAGTGTTTGTGACTTACCCAGGGTGCTTTTAGAGGAAAAAAATTCTGTTCCATGAAGACGTGCCAGTCTGAATAAGAAGTGCTGAAAATTGTTACTTTTTTTCAATAGAGAAGAGCAAATGAGAATGTAATACTTGGAAATGTGCTGGAGTAAATCTGTGCTAGTATTTCTGTTACCTTTTTGAAACGAATCCATTTAATGGTGATTTGGCTTTTAAGTGTGGGTTTTTTTTTTCCTTAATCTGTACCTATGGTTTTATTTCTGGTTTCATTAAAATAGGTAAATGAGGCTAAGTATCAAACTGATAGAAAGAAGTGGCTGGAGGAAAAAATGGGACTCATAAGTCAAGTAAAAGAAGCTGAGAGCCATCTCAACAGAGAAATGCGAAAACTTGCAGAGGACAGAGAATGCCATGTAAAGCAACAAGCAGAAACTGTAAGTGACTGGAGGTCTCAGCAGAGTCCTGTAGTGTAAGTCTTCAGTACAGAGCAAACCTTATGTCAAGTGTTAACAGTGTGGGTGCTTGAGGGTAGCTGGCCTTTGTCCAAGTCCCCTCACTTTATCACATGGCAAAGCCTAGATGAGATCATCTCAATATGAAAAGGGAAGAATAGGAGGGTCACAAAATGAGAAAGGTTAGTACATAGTGGAAGTGAACATGCCTGTTCCTTTCTATCCTAAAACCATTGCACTATTAATTCTTCAAACTTCATATTGTCTTTAAAACACTAATAAGTAACCTACACTTAAATGAAATGCTACTTAATGAAGCGAAGAAAACATACTTTGAAAAACAAGATTTGTTACTTGACTTTTCTTAAAAAAAAAGGCTATGAGGCTTTAGAAGGAGGAGAAAAAGCAAACAGAGGTTGATCAAAAAAAAAAAGCTTCTTTCCAGATACGGAGTAAAAATACTTGTTCAAAATGCGAGTGGTTTTGCTTCCATGTCGCTTTCAAAGTAAAGTGATTGATAGTTAATAACAAGGTGGATACCTTGCCTGTTCACTGGACTGTGTCAAGGTTGTAATTTCTTAAGCCTATGAAATTGTTATATGAATCTGTTCAATCTAAACCTATATTTACATCTAGAAGTAGTTAGAAATGACTTTCTGGACCTGCAATTAGTAGAGGGGGATGTTAGGAGCTTAGGACTACTTTTACTTGTCTGTGACTTTGCTTGCCTGAGACTTCTTAGTAATAAAATCACAGAGCGAGTGAACAGGAGTGGTGGTTCTTACCAAAAATTCTCTTTACAAAGAGTATAAATATAGATACAGATTTTCTAATTGAAGCATGGTTTGCTTTTCTGTATTTGTAGTGAAACTAGTTCATGTGAGCTTTTTAAGATCTACATAGGATCTCAAGTTTGCTAGGGCCATAAAATAGTACTACGTGAAACCAAACTATCAGAACAGTTCAAATAGTGTGTAGCACTGGTGTTTGATTCTAACCTATTTTTTTTTTCACCACTTAGGAAAGACTGGCTGCACAGCTGGTAGAAAAGGGCAGCAATCTTCAAAAGTGGTGTGAAGAAAAGAGATGAAGTAGTAGAAGCTTTGAAAGTACAGTCCAAGACTTTGGCTTCTAACTCCATGCAAAAAGATGAAGAAATAGCGGAACTGAAACAGGCTGCAGTAAAGGATTCAGGAAAGGTCATCTCTCTCTGTCTCTTGTTCCTGTGTGAATTTTTTTTTCCTGTTATCCATTAATTCTGTAAAACACTATACTTGCTCTTCGCATTTGGGCTCTGTTTTTCGTTCTTGAATGCTGTTGTATTGAAACCATTTGCAGCTAATTTGGAAAAAAAACTTTATTTCTGTTTGAATTTGTAATGGTAACTGAAGTTTCAAAATATTTAGTAGTTCAAATAAACATTCCAGTCTATTTAGTCCTTTGATTGCAAAGTTAGATGGGAAATCTGAAACAACTGTCACATCTGCTGCCTTTTTCACAGCACCAAGGACTTAATAAACAAATGGGAGGTGAACCTCTTATAACTCTGCAAAAGTAGAGTAAAATAAAAAATTTTGCATTACATCTTCCCAGACTGTTATATGACTTTTCACTTTAAATAGTGGCCACTCGTATGTGAAATTATTGGCTTTTTGTTTGATAACTGTTTTAGTCTGCAGTGCTGAAACTGATGCTACCAACTAAATGTAGTGATGCTCCTGTATATGTTACTTTCTTTTGCCAATCCTGTAATTGGTGGTGATTTTTGCTATGTTTATCAGGATAAGGAAACTGATACAGAAGAACTAAGAAAACAGCTGCCTGAGAAAGATGACTTTATAAAGGAATTGAAACAACGTATGAACCATGAAAGTCTTCGTTCTTTGGCAGAAGTATCTTTACCTGAAGAAGGACAAGATAAAATAGATCAGTCTGTAAGCAAAGGGGTATGTTTGTTGTAATTATAGAAAGTATGTCTTAATGATAGGTTAATAACTTTTGTTGTTTTCTCAATGTATATTTCAGCAATTTTGGGAAACTCCCAAAAGTTACTTTTCATAGTTCTTTGTACTTTAAGCATGTCTTCATCTTATAACTCTGCAAAAGTAGAGTAAAATAAAAAATTTTGCATTACATCTTCCCAGACTGTTATATGACTTTTCACTTTAAATAGTGGCCACTCGTATGTGAAATTATTGGCTTTTTGTTTGATAACTGTTTTAGTCTGCAGTGCTGAAACTGATGCTACCAACTAAATGTAGTGATGCTCCTGTATATGTTACTTTCTTTTGCCAATCCTGTAATTGGTGGTGATTTTTGCTATGTTTATCAGGATAAGGAAACTGATACAGAAGAACTAAGAAAACAGCTGCCTGAGAAAGATGACTTTATAAAGGAATTGAAACAACGTATGAACCATGAAAGTCTTCGTTCTTTGGCAGAAGTATCTTTACCTGAAGAAGGACAAGATAAAATAGATCAGTCTGCAAGCAAAGGGGTATGTTTGTTGTAATTATAGAAAGTATGTCTTAATGATAGGTTAATAACTTTTGTTGTTTTCTCAATGTATATTTCAGCAATTTTGGGAAACTCCCAAAAGTTACTTTTCATAGTTCTTTGTACTTTAAGCATGTCTTCAGTTCTGAGTTCTTGTTTATTCTTTCTCTCTCCCTCTTTCATGCTCGCTCTCAGGAAAAAATTACTTTAGTTAATAGAATACCAACTCTCTCTACATTATAGAACTTATATACCTGAAGGAAAAACTAGTTAACTAATCCAGGTTCTAGAGATTTGAAGACGTAGTACTTGTAGTGTCATCTCAGTTTGGTTATGTCAGTGTTAAGGCGATTTCAGCTCAAACAACTTCAATGATATCACCTATAGTGTGGTAATAGAGATGATTCTGTAACTAGAGCTGCCAGCCCATATGAGTGTTCACAAGAGCAAAACAGTGTCTTGTATCCCACTTAAAACCAAAGCAAAACAATATTTGAAGTTTACACAAAGACAAGATCAACTTTGCATATTTCCTGAACAAAAATTAAAAGGCTTGCAACTGTACTGAGATGCTTGATTCTGACCGAACCCTTGTGTGCTACATGAACGGTATTTAATGAGGTAGTTCTCCTGCTAAAGTGAGTTAATGCTACGTGACTCCATTGCTAGTTAATAATGAACGGGGCTGAACATGGATTTCCTAGCAGCCCCTCCCCTGACCACTAGAAGATGCGATTCTCCTCTTGTTGCACAACTGGACTGAATGCCAAAATGCATCTCTTAGTCTTATTTGGCACTAGACAGAGATGATCTGGCTCATTTCTTGCTACTTCATCAGTTCAGCTGGTGCCATATAGATGTATGAGGGAGAACAGAAGAGGTCTCAGAAGGGTTACTGCTTGATACACCTTTGTAATAGCAGCTGAGAGAGCACCATAACATTAGGGTTTTTGCTATAAAATTAGTTATTACAGAATGGTTGGTGTTGGAAGGGACCTCTGGAGATCATCTAGACCAACCCCTCTGCCAAAGCAGGCTCACCTAAAGCAAGTTGCAGAGGATCGTGTCCAGGTGGGTTTTGAATACCTCCAGAGAAGGAGACTCCACAAACTCTTTGGGCAGCTTTTTCCAGTGCTCTGTCACCCTCGAAGTATAGAAGTTCTTCCTCATGTTCAGATGGAACTTCCTGAGTTTCAGTTTGTGCCCATTGCCCCTTAACCTGTCGCTGGGTACCGCTGAAAAGAGTCTGGCCCCATCGTCTTGACACCCACCCCTAAAGTATTTATAAGCATTGGTGAGATCCCCTCTCAGTCTTCCCTTCTCCAGGCTGAACACACCCAATTTCCTCAGCCTTTCCTCATCAGGGGACGTTCCAGTCCCCTCATCATCTTGGTTGCCCTCCAGTGGACTCTCTCCAGTAGTTCCTTGAACTGGAGAGCCCGGAACTGGACACAAGACTGCAGATGTGGCCTCACTAGGGCGGAGTAGAGGGGAAGGAGAGCCACACTCTTCCTAATGCACCCCAAGATACCATTGGCCTCCTTGGCCACAAGGGCACATTGCTGGCTCATGGGCAACTTGTTGTCCCCCAGGACTCCCAGGTCCTTCTCTGCCCAGCTGCTCTCCAGCAGGTCAGCCCCCAGCTGGTACTGGTGCATGGGGTTATTCCTCCTGAGGTGCAGGACCCTACACTTGCTCTTGTTGAATTTCATCAGGTTCCTTTTCACCCAACTCTCTAGCCTGTCCAGGTCTTGCTGAACGGCAGCACAGCCTTCCGGTGTATCAGCCACTCCTCCCAGTTTTGTATCATCAGCGAACTTGGTGAGGGTACGGTTCATCCCTTCATCCAGGTCACTGATGAATAGGTTAAACAAGACCAGACCCAGAACTGACCCCTGGGGAATACTGCTAGCTACGGGGTTATAGAGAATTGTTGTGAACAGTTGGTGCTGAAGTATTTACCTCAAGGCAGTAGCAACAATACTTGATGTTATGAATAAGGGAGGGTGCTAACAGGATTATTGTGAGAAACTGTTATGGTAGTGTTGAAGTGGATGGGATAAAGTTTTTGCGGGGAGTCAAATAATTCTGAAGAAAGACATAATGGAGATAAAGAAGAAAAATGAAAGCGATCAAGGTGGTATGTATGTCCTGCCTTGTGAGGAGAGACTTAGAAGCTGACCCTCTGATTAGAAGTTAAGGCCACCAGAGGGTTATGGGGCTGAGTTTTACAAAATCTTGGTTGTGGTGGGTATACAGAAGGCAGAACTGGCCTTCCTAAAATCTCAATGTCCTAGCAGTGCCTTTTCATTGAGTGAGGTTGGTATAAAACTTTACATTTCAAAATTTTATGCAGTTGTGTGGATTTTGCTAACTGCAGAATAGGGAAGAAAATGTGTCCTGTTGCCTGAACAATTCTAAAACTTTATTCTGCAAATTCCTTTCTTGATGAGCAGATTGCCTGACTTAGTGACTTTTGGTAGAAATAAAAGCTGTATAATGTAATCATGTGCATAATTCTATCTGACTTCAAGTGTGTGCTCTTGGAAATGGACCTCTCACCAACACTTGTGAAGTGGCTAATAATTAGATACGTCACTTGAAATAAAAATAAATATAAACTCACTTAAATGGATGAGCAACAGCAGGGAAAACTGGATTTGCTTTCTTCCCCGGTAGGATTCCTGTGTGTAGCTTTGTTAGCTAATGACGCTAAGATTCCTATGTAACGTTTTGATTGCTAACTCTCATGAAGTAGCAGTTATAAACAAAAATGGTTTTGTTAACCAGCTCCATTCTTGGGAATGCAATTGTGCTGTTATTCCCACTTGGAATCCCAGCAGAGCCTGCTGAAGAAGGCGACTACCTTTTGGCTTTCCATGAGCTTTGATCATCCTTTTTGAGAGGAGGAAGGTACCTTTCAGGGTGAACCAGCATAAGAAGCAACAGCAGCTGGTCTGTTTGGGACCCTACTAGCAGCAGTAGTGCCAGTCACCTACCAGTTCTCACCACCACCGATCCCAGCAGCCTGTCTTCCAGGTTTCATTCAAACAGCTGATGAATTCGTTTTGGTATGCTATCCAGCAGCTGAAGTACTGCCACAGAGATGCAGGAGCTGGGGAGATCACAACTCTGACTTTCTTGCTGCTTTTGCTAAGAGGAAGAGGGCTGGGTGGATGGTGGAAAGTAAGTGCTGCTGGGGAAGAAGGGTTGTGCAAACTGACCTTTGCATCCCACCCTCACCGTGTGATTCTTGTGGTTTGGCTGTAAGCAGGTGTAAGATAACGTCTTCGGCTTGAAGGCAGGGGTGCTGCCTGAATGCCTGCTCTTTCTCCAAAGAACATAGTGATGTAGAAGTGTCTCATATGTTGAACTTGGCTTGTAGCTTGCCACTTGGATCTTGTTAGCTACACAATCAACTTCTCTAGTATAGAAGCAG